TAAATCACACTCGCTCCAGTGTACTTCTTTTGAACCAGACTGCTCTTTCAAACTTTGATCGCTTGCCTTGAAGAGCTCCAAGTGCCCACAGCCAAAACCTTCACATCGGTCGATCAAAATAAAAATACTCCTTGATTAACACATTTTACGTCTTTAGGCGCTGTAAACCTGTTCTTTTTTTTTTTTTTTGCCTCCTAATTGTGTGAAGTCTTACGCCGACCACATGCACAGAAGTGACCATGTTTTTGCTTCAAAGAGTTCAATTTCTTCAGTTTGAGTTGACGAAACCTGAACTAAATAAACGAATGAATCAAGCTCTGTGTGATATTAACAGGCTTACGAACAGAAAGACACAGGGGAAAAGAAACGCTGAAAATAGTTCACAGAAAAACTGATTGCCTTCAGCCAAAATAAACAAATCATTAAAAATGAAAAAGCCGATCTAATTTGACATTTTAAATAGTAAATAAAAATCGAGCCTAAAAGTCTTAAAATACAAAAACGTTATATAAACAATAATAAATTCTTCACTTCCATCAGTGTTTTCCTCATTTGCAGAAAAAAATAAAATATTAAACTGTTTTGCACCTTTTATTGTGAATTAAAAAAAACAATTTAAAACAAAAGAAAAACTAATACAAAAGCCAATCTTTTAAGTGTCTTCAATAATTTTAAAGAAAAAAATGGTTGACCAAGTGACCCCCCTAAAATACAGCGACTTTTTGAGTAATCAGTTAATAATCAAAAACAGTCTGCTGTTCCGAGGTAAATAGTAATTGACACCACTTAATCCGCTTCTTTAAAAAGACATAAATTCATATTTTTCAAATTTTAATTTCTTTAAAAAATGAATATTTCATAACTGTTGGGCGGATGCTTGACTATGTAGTGAGAATGATACTGAAGCAGATTCACATTAGGGCTAAGGCGTACTATTAGACAACAGTAAAAGATTGTTCCAGTAAACGGTCAAGAAACGCTTCCCGGCAATCAGCAGACGGTTTCAGTGATCTAAAAAACGATCCTCACCACACTAATGTTTCTGTCATCCTATCGCTGTTAATTGACTGTTCGTTTTTTGACTTTAATTACTATGTTATCTCACCTGAGTCTTATTTCGTTTTGCTTTATGACATCGTTTTTTGTCGTAGCCATTGCTTTAAACTTTCATCTTCACTCTTTTTATGACTGCCCGATTGTACCTTCTCTTTATCAGTAAACTGATGAACCCAAACAGCAGACATTTCATAAGAAGTCGAGCAACACAATATTATATAAACCTCTCATCAGCAAAATATATTATTTGACTTCTTCAGAGATTGTAAGAACCGTTGTCAATTTCTTCGTTGTATCAAATAAAGCAAATGTGTACTTTAATTGTTTTTTTCAACTAGAATCAATTGTTCAGTTGTCAACTTTTGAAACTCTTCACATTAGCTTTGAATGAAGCATATGAAGCCTTGAATCACTCCCCATCACCTCCACAGAAATTAAGGTTCAGAAACGTTTTTTTTTTTTGAAAGCTTCGCTTTATCGACAAATTGAAAGTAGTTGTCCAGGTAATAAAACAGCAAAATTTAAACAATTTTTATACAAATCTTTCGACAGAGATGATATTAGTACTTCTATGGCCGTTTACTAACTAGGATTTTGAATATAGTTATAAGACTTCGGAACCAGTGAACAACAGTCAACAGTAATCTGATCTACGACATACTATACATTTTTTTTTTTCACGGCATATCGACAGTTAAACTGGCTTAGGTGTTATAGGCCAGAAATGTTTTTTGCTTTTACACACAACTGGAAAAAGCCGTTTTCAGACGTTGTAGCGCTAACAACACTTGATGTCGTTAAGCAATAAGTGCTAGTCGAGTAAATTGTATTTTAAAACATTTGTATTTTGCAAATAATCAAAAAGCTCTATTGGTCTTAACGCGATTAACATGTACAAACTCAACAGTTTAGCCGTTTATAAATGCATAAACATTGGCAATTGACTGTGGTATGATACATTTTGTGAATATTACTTTAAAAAATAAAGAATCCAATATCACTAAGTCGTAACAAAAAATATAATGTACAGTATTCTATGGGACGAGATCAGGGATGAAGGGATGCGACGAGAAGGTTCAGTGTGCTAAACATTTCTGTTGGCCAAACGCCAAGTAGATTTATAATCTCGAAAAATTCCCTATTTAACCTTTGCGGGTTATAGAAATGAAGCATATTTGTCTCTGCCTTGTGCTCTCAGACAATTTCTACATACATCTCTAAATTCACTTCTACGGAGGTACATATGGATATGCTAAACGATTTTTTATACACTTTCCATGCAGAACATTTTTTAACGATTCTGAGTTAAAAAACATTTTTTCCCCCCACATCTTTAGAAGACATTTATTGACGTTGCATTTCAAACATACGTTGGATGTACATTTATTCTGGCGACAGAATAGACCAGTTGCGGTATTTGGCGGATTTGTCATTGTTGTTTGTTATTATTTGCTTCATGCTACACGACGAACTTAGACAAAAACTGAGTTGTTTTCTGTTCTATTATTGGTAGTAAATGTGGTCTTGATCATTAAGTATATATCAATAAAAAAAAATAT